GTGATGTCGCATTTAAAAAATCATTACCAAGACCCATGTCAAGGAGCCTTTTCTCTATGCTTTCTTCTACTTTTATGGTTTCAGGTCTTACATTTAAGTCTTTAATCCATTTTGAATTAATTTTTATGAGTGGTACAATATAGCGATCTAGTTTCATTTATTGAAGAGCCTATATTTTTCTCCACTGAGTATTCTTAGCTCTGCTGTAAAATATTAATTGATCACATACACATGGTTTTATTTCTGGGGTCTTCATTCTGTTCCATTTGTCTATGATGTATCTATTTTTATGTCAGTACCATGCTGTTTTGAGTAATATAGCTTGAAGTCAGAACTGCTTTTTTCTCTTAGGATTTATTTGGCTATTAGGAATCTTTTGTGATTTCATTCAAATTTTAGGATTTCTTTTTCTACTTGGACATCAAAATTAAAACATCTTTCCATCAAAGGACAGAATCAACAAAGTGAGAAGATATCCTATGGGAGGGGAAAATAATTGCAAATTCTGTATTTGATAAGAGATTAATATCCAGAATATATAAAGAACTCCTACAACTCAACAACACCAAAAATAACCCAAGCAGAAAATGTACAAAGGACTTGAATATACTTTTCTCCAAAAGAGATATATACATGACCAACAAATATGTGAAAAGATGCTCAACATCACTAATAATTAAAGAAATGCAGTCAAAATCACAATGAGATAGCATCTCACACCCGTTAGGATAGCTACCATTAAAAAAAAAGAAAAGAAATGTTGATAAGGATGTGGAGAAATAGAAACGCTTAAACAGTACTCTGTTCGTTGGAATGTAAAATGGTGCAGCCACTATGGAAAACAGTGGGGTAGTTTCTCAAAAAGTTACAAAAAACTACTGTATTGCCCACTATCCCACATTTGGATACATACCCAAAAGAATTTAAAGCAGGACCTCAAAGAGAGACTTGTATACGCATGTTTATTGTCACACAATAATTGCTTGAGGTAGAAGCATTGACAAATATCCATTGACAGATGAATGGATAAATAAATGTGGTTTATTCATACAGTGGAATATTATTCAGCCTGAAAAGGAAGGAAATTCTCACACATGCTACAACATGGATGAACCTTGAAGACATTATGCTAGATGAAATAAGCCAGTCACACACAAAAAGATACAGTATGAGTCCACTTATATGAGATGTCTAGAGTAGTCAAATTCATAGAAACAGAAAGCAGAATGGTGGTTGCCAGGGGTCGGGGTTAAGGGGGGGATAGGAGGTTAATGGGTGTAGAGTTTCAGTTTTTACAAGATGAAAAATTGTGGAAATGGTTGGTGGTGATGGTTACACAACAATGTGCACGTAATTAATAATACAGAACTTTACACTTAAAAGTGGTAAATTTTATGTTAAGATGCTTTTAAAACTTTTGCTCTTTAAATTCTATATTTAAGAGGACAAAAAGACAGGTACAAAGTGGGAGAATACTAGTAAGCTACATATCTGAGAAAGGACTAATATCCAGAATATATTCATATCTCTCAAAACTTAACAGCAAATAAATAGGCCAATTAGACAATGGTCGAAAGACGCGAACAGACCTCTCACCCAAGAGAAGATAAAGATGTAAAGGGAATTGCAGCACTTGCACACGTGTGCCCTTCCTAGAGCAAGGAAGATTTATGTCCACATGCACATCTGTACACAAATGCTTAGAGCAGCTTTACCTGAAACAGCCACAAACTGGGAATGACCCCAATGCCCTTCTGTGGGTGAGTGTCTAAAAAAATTGTGTTAAACCAATAAAAAGGAATGTCCCATTGACATATGCAACCTCATTCACCTATTGCCGGAGGATTATGCTTGGTGAGAAAAAGCCAACCTCAAAAGGTCAAATCAGGGTTACTCTGTTTATATAACACTTAAAATGACAAAAGTATATCTCTTCTCGGCCTTTGGCTAAGATCAAGTGTAAAATGACAAAAGTATATAAATTCAAGACAATTGTTGGTTGCCAGGGTTAAGGAGTGTTAAGGGTGAGAAGAAAGTGGGTGTGGTTGTTAAAAAAAGGGGGGTAGTATGAGGGTTCCACTTGATGATAAACATGTCTGTAGGTTTATTGTATCAATGTTGCTATCCTGGCTGTCTAATTGCACTAGAGCAGCAGTTCTCAACCTGTGGGTCGCGACCCCTTTGGCGGTTGAACGACCCTTTCACAGGGGTCGCCTAAGACCATCCTACATATCAGATATTTACATTACGATTCATAACAGTAGCAACATTACAGTTATGAAGTAGCAACGAAAATAATTGTATGGTTGGGTTGCAACATGAGGAACTGTATTTAAAGGGCCAGAAGGTTGAGAACCACTGCACTAGAGGAGCCCACAACCTAGTCATGTGCCCTTGACCGGAACTGAACCCGGGACCCTTCAGTCTGAAGGCCGACGCTCTATCCACTAAGCCAAACCGGCCACGGCTGTATTATTTCTTTCAACTACATGTGATTCAACAATGATCTACACTAATAAAAGACAAACATGCAAATTGACAGTACCTTCACTATGCCTTAAGTCACGCCCACCAGCCAATCAGAGCGACTATATGCAATTTAACCCAACCAAGATGGCGGCCGGCAGCCATGGAGCTGAAGCGAGCAGGAAGCTTGGTTTCTCCAGTGATGGAGGAAGCCAAGCTTCCTGGCCGGCTCTGAGCTCCACTGAAGGCAACAAAGTTTCAATTATAGAAGATAAATAAACCCCAGATACCTGCTTTCAGCTGGCCCTGGCTTCAGTAACCTAGGCTTCCAGCTGGACCTGGCCTCCGCTCAAGGCTACTAAATTTCAATGATAGAAAATAAATAAATCCCGGGAAAAAAAGGAAAATAAAAGTCTGGGAGCTTGTGTTCCCAGGAGGAA